CACACACTGAGCTGTATGGAGTATATTTATGATCAGCAGGTGGAGAAATAAGAGCTCAGATGATGAGAGTGAAACTAGGACATGACAACAGAACACACACACACACAGTCCCGCCAGAGGCCACCGATTTACTGTGACCTTATGATACAATAATAAGCCAGCCTAAAAACAGAGGTGCACACAGCAGTGACGGTCAGAATCTGGACTCGTCTTTGATTTCAGTTGGCTCTCTCTGTGGGATTGTGGGTAAATGCGAAAGCCAGAGACCAATCAAAAGCAAGTTGGGGATGGATATTGTACAGGATATTCACTGCATAAATAAAAAAATCAACATAGATTAATACTTAATAAAGATACAAATCTAGATATTCAATCTAGAGCAGTGAGTGATTTTCTCTTTTCCTCTTGTTCTTTGATTACCATTAACCCTCTGAGGTCGGCAAACGCGTCGGTGCGTTTTGTTCGTTTTTTTGTTTTTTTTTTCACATAGCTGCAACATAGACTTAAAATACTCCATCATTAATGGTCATATAAATCAGTCCCTCCAGAAAAACGCGATTAAGCGATCGCTGAATTCAATGCAAAATCAGCCAAAGTCCGCATATTTATGCGGGGGGCGCATTTTTTCAAATACGCCTCACTTTCGCCGCATAAATTGCCGATTTCCGTGCAAAATATGTGGGGTTTGCATAATTTCATAATCCTCGCATTTTCGTTGCAAAAAAAAGTCACATGTATCTTAGCAGAAAGTTGAAAAATGTTGCGTTTGCTTCACACAAGAGCAGCCATTTCCCCCTGTTTCCATGGGAACGTTATGAAGTGACGCAATTACGCGACGCCAGACAGACTCACGGAGGCGATTGACATCTCACAAATCGAACTCGTATAACTGTCTGTCGAACGTTCTACTGTCACATTGTTACTTAATAAACAACATAAGATAAAAGTAGTAGCATCAAACAGAAATTACCCGCACACATGGGGTGTTCGACAGTTCAACAGGGAGCGCGCAGCTCTTAAAGGGGCCACACCTTATTTACACTCTTACAGTCTGAAATAAAACAAGATGAGAAATTAAATATTCCCAGCACTTTCTATGATGTAGTATGCTTGTTTATCAAAGGAAGTAATAAGAAATGACTCTTATATTAACAGGATGTTGGGGGAATCACTTTTTTTCTCTTTTTCATCAAACCGCAATTTTTGCACGTTCCCTCAATTTTTGTAAATTCCAGCAATTTCATCGCATAAAATTGCATAAATATCCCACATATTCCATCGCATTTTTAAAGAAAACTGGCCGCATAATCAATCAATTTTTGCCCGCAACAATCACAAAAAAAACTCCGTGTTTTTCTGGAAGGACTGAATACTATTGTAAATGTTAAATATAAATCGCAAATTTTTTCACAAATTTTTGGAAATTACCACCACAAAATCAGTCATTTTGATCGCAAAAATCACAAAAAAAATCGTGAAATCCTGGAGGGACTGATAAATAAAAAATTCAACATAGATTAAAGGCCATTGCACACTGAGTCCGAAATTCGCATACGAAATTTTCGCACGTTAAAAAAAAAATTCGACCTCACGTTATGTCAGTCATGCTTGCACACCGCCTCCGAAACTTTCATCCGTCATAAAATTAATCGGATCGGGTTCGATTTTCTGCGTTTTTGAGCTCGTCCTCAAATCATTGCACATATGCGCCGTGCTTTCAGTTTCGGTTTTCAATTCGATCAAGTGTTTATGTTCTCTTCTCTATATTGGATTATGAAATTAATAAACCTCCCCTTTCAATCAGATTGAAATTTAGGATCGAATAAGGTGTGATTGAGCAGACTATTCGATAACTAATGTATTATTTGGGCACAATATATACACAATATATACACAATAACAGCCTAGCTGTTCTGTCTGCCCAGCGCTTCCACCGGGCCGCGCGCGGGTGTGTTTGTGTGTGTCCATACCAGACACACTGCCAGTCTCCGTTCAGAATCGATTGGTTCACGGAAATTGGTGGTCTTGTTTTTAATATGTGGCTCCAGAATCGCTAGCAAAGCATCAAACTGTCCCACTGACATTCTGAGGTAAATTTTGAATCGCTCAGGATAAATTCACAACTCCTTAAGGAACTCTCCTTCCTCTCGGCGCAATTTCAGGATTGGATGGACGTAATATTTTCTCTTTCTTCTCTTTTCAATATGAGAGAGGGCAAAAATCATCCTCACTGCTTGACGAATCCATTTGGTATTTTTGCGTTTTTCCCGCAAAGGTTTAATAAATACGCATCGGACTCGGTATGCAAGACGAATTTTTAGGCTGACGAACACGAAAATACGCATACGAATATTTCGTACTCAGTGTGCAATGGCCTTAATACTTAATAAAGATACAAATCTAGATATTCAATCTAGAGCAGTGAGTGATTTTCTCTTTTCCTCTTGTTCTCTGATTACCATTAACCCTCTGAGGTCGGCAAACGCGCCGGTGCGTTTTGTTAGTTTTTTATTTTTACATAGCTGCAACATAGACTTAAAATGCTCCATCATTAATGGTCATATAAATAAAATCAATACATGATTATAAACTATAGAGGTTCTTCTTTTTTGTGTATACGCTTATTAACATCAAGACCTTGTGTTTTTGTAAAATAAATAAAATAAACAGGGTGTGCTTTCGGCTCAATCTGTCGCCGCAAAAATCTTTCTGAAACGCGTCCGAAAAATGAACTGTGACTCATTAAATACTTGTCACAGAGACACAAAAGATTTCTCTTTATGAAGCTGAGATTCTATTCTTTTAAATTAAGCAATTTATATAAAAAAAGCAACTATTCTCAGTTAATGTAATCTGTATGAAAATAGAGAGATGTCAGTATTTTTCCTTTCACCTAATTATAAAGGCTCATTATTATGCGGGTCAGGTGAGAATCTCCTAATTATACAAAATGGGGTTGGACCGTTCAAGCCCATTCGCATATTGCCTTAACAAAACAAAAAAAATGTTTTTCAGAATATAACCCAATTCACAGTTTTATGTGAATGATTAGGCAGGATGATTTTCAGATCATTTTGAAGAAAAAACTCTAGGCAACAACATCCATTTATCAAAAGTGTTGTATGTGTTTTATGGCCTTATTTCAGAAACTTTCATTTTTAGTTTTTTCAATAACCACACATAAACAATATTCTCTCAAAAACATAAACATGTACATACATGTTGCTCACATATAATGGTAGCCCTGTTTGTGCTAAAAAGAGTGTAATATGTTCATAAGCAACCGAAAAAAAGCACAAATGTCAGGGCATGTCAAAACATCTCAAGGACCCCAAAAACACCTTGGACCCCAGAGGGTTAATGACAGACAGCAGCAGATTTATTTGATTAACATTATTAGGCTGCTGTCACTAAGACCTGACTCACATCACGCGGATCTGATATACATTTCCTTACAAATCTTTACGTTCGTTTAACACATTTAGGACAGTGCTTGCGAAGATACTCAACAAAACTGGCATTTTGGGATACTTTTGAGTGTTTTTGTCCATTCAATAGGGGTGTAACGGTACACAAAAATCACGGTTCGGTACGTACCTCGGTTTTAAAGTCACGGTTCGGTACGTTTTCGATACAGCAAAAAGAAAGAAATGCCAGAGAAATTTCCTATTTGTTTAAAGAAAAAAATATTTTTAAATAAGTGTGAGTTTTCCTAGATCTTGAAACTTTCAGGTTTATAAATGGGGGTCATCTTTGAAGGATGAACAAATGTTTTGGTCATCACATTAAAAAAAAAAAAAAAAATATATATATATATATATATATATATATATATATATATATATATATATAAAATAAATTAAATATATATTTATTTATATAATATTTTAATTTTGAAGTGCTGGAAAAAGATGTGTGAAGTACTTGAAAGCATTTCACCATTCCAGCCAAACTGGTTCCAGTTAGTGTTACTACTATATTAAATCCATGGTGAATGTTGCTGGTCTGTGGACGAAAGTATTACTAGTTCATTCACGGCACAATGTTTCTCCTGGTTTCCATGACAGCGCTGTTTGATCTAATAGAGATCTACGGTTAATAACGGAGAAATGTGAATGCTTCTCACTAGATCTCGCAGCGATGTTATTACCTCAGTGACGAATTCAAATGTTTTCTTTACCGGATCTCTTAGCGCGGTGTGGTAACAGTGTTGCTTGATCGAGATCGGCTCGCGCTGCACAGATGTTGCTGGTCCGAACTGATAAACGATCCGTGAAGCACATAACGAGGAGCGCAGTTTCGTTCTGCTTTCATTACGCTTGCCATTTGATGTTGCGCAACGTTGTGTTGGCCGCGTCTGCACGAATTTTGCCGGCAGGAAAAATGGTCCAAGCAAACGTTCGGTTTGTATGCGTACCGAACCGGAAGCCTCGAACCGAAACGGTTCAATACGAATACATGTACCGTTACACCCCTACCATTCAAGCACTGTCTGAGGTCACTTTCTGTGCATACGAGTGTGTGTGTGTGTGTCACACAGACAGGAGATTCACAGTGTCTGATCGCGCTCGAATAGTTTAAAAGCATTTACATGAATAAGAGCGTGATCATACTATACAATTTAACACTAGCCAAAGAATGACAGAATAAAAAATTAACGGATTAATATTGACAGCCCTAGTGAATTTTACTTATTATTTTTAAAGAATGTCCACGAATGTCTTAGAAAATGTTAAAAATGTTTTATATGAAAATATTTAAAGCTAAGGTTCTTTATCTGTGACCTGTACAGACACAGAAGAACACTTACTTTAATATGCTGTATGTCACACCCTTTTTCATTTTCCAAAATTAGGTCAGAGACAAGTGTTCAGACAAGTAGCAGACAACAAGTGTCCAAAAACTCTAGTTATCTCGAGCATGAACAACATTAAACGATTGACAGCTGCAGGTGGTTGAGCACAGTTGTGTGTGTGTGTGTGTGTGTGTGTGTTTATCACCTTTACAGCGAAGCTGCACTTGCCCCCGCGCACGGCCTCCTCGTCTGTCTGCCACTGGTGCGGCCGGCTGGACTCGGGCACGTAAACGTCTTTCTTTCGCCGGAAGCTCTGCCGTAGCTTATTCATTGCTCAGCCTCCTCCTGCAGACAGAGACACAGAGAGACGGTTCACACAGATGACGGAAACAAGCAGCGAGACTAGTCCTACAGACACAGACTTCTATCAGCTTCATATCTGGTCCAATAATAACTAAAAATGCCTAAATGATAGGAAAAAGCATGCAAAAAACAACCATTTTACTTGCAACAAATACAATGGTTGTTATAGTACCAAAACTTCAGCAGTCAATACCAGTGCCAGTGAAAGTCATTATTAGTCATATATGTACACTCAATCAACCAATCACATGGCAGTTGCTTCAATGCATGTAGGGGTGTGGTCCTGGTCAAGACAATCTCCTGAACTCCAAACTGAATGTCAGAATGGGAAAGAAAGGTGATTTAAGCAATTTTGAGCGTGGCATGGTTGTTGGAGCCAGACGGGCCGGTCTGAGTATTTCACAATCTGCTCACTTACTGGGATTTTCACACACAACCATTTCTAGGGTTTACAAAGAATGGTGTGAAAAGGGAAAAACATCCAGTATGCGGCAGTCCTGTGGGCGAAAATGCCTTGTTGATGCTAGAGGTCAGAGGAGAATAGGCCGACTGATTCAAGCTGATAGAAGAGCAACTTTGACTGAAATAAGCACTCGTTACAACCGAGGTATGCAGCAAAGCATTTGTGAAGCCACAACACGCACAACCTTGAGGCGGATGGGCTACAACAGCAGAAGACCCCACCGGGTACCACTCATCTCCACTACTAATAGGAAAAAGAGGCTACAATTTGCAAGAGTCACCAAAATTGGACAGTTGAAGACTGGGAAAATGTAGCCTGGTCTGATGAGTCTCGATTTCTGTTGAGACATTCAGATGGTCGAGTCAGAATTTGGCGTAAACAGAATGAGAACATGGATCCATCATGCCTTGTTACCACTGTGCAGGCTGGTGGTGGTGGTGTAATGGTGTGGGGGATGTTTTCTTGGCACACTTTAGGCCCCTTAGTGCCAATTGGGCATCGTTTAAATGCCACGGCCTACCTGAGCATTGTTGCTGACCATGTCCATCCCTTTATGGCCACCATGTCCCCATCCTCTGATGGCTACTTCCAGCAGGATAATGCACCATGTCACAAAGCTCCAATCATTTCAAATTGGTTTCTTGAACATGTCAATGAGTTGACTGTACTAAAATGGCCCCCACAGTCACCAGATCTCAACCCAATAGAGCATCTTTGGCATGTGGTGGAACGAGAGCTTTGGATGTGCATCCCACAAATCTCCATCAACTGCAAGATGCTATCCTATCAATATGGGCCAATATTTCTAAAGAATGCTTTCAGCACCTTGTTGAATCAATGCCGCGTAGAATTAAGGCAGTTCTGAAAGCGAAAGGGGGTCAAACACAGTATTAGTGAGGTGTTCCTAATAATCCTTTAGTGTATAGTAAAGAATGGCAATGTTACATTAAAATTTTAACATCCAATCCATTGGTACTGAATTGTTGTTCCGATATGGACTTTTTTATGCCGATATCCACTGAATATAAATCATGTGTTCTGAAAGCAAAAGGTGTGTGCTTGTGAAAGGGTTTGCGGCCGCATAGGAGCAAGGCATTTTAAACTGCAAGGCTATGCCTTTGCATCACACACACAATATTTCTCTCTCGCTAACACCAACATTAAACAAGATCAGAGCGGTGTCAACACTGAATGCACCAGCGCACACACACGCACACACACACTGCTGAGTCACATCAGAGCCAGACACCGAAGACTCGACGTCTCAGAGCAACAGAGAAACAGGTAAAGCTTCATTTCCCTTTACAGTCCACAGAAGATCAGATTTCAACAGCATAACGTGACACTCATTTGAATGAGCTAGAAAAAAACGCGTACGCACTCATACACACTCACACACGTACAGGCAGTAAGTAACAGCTTGTCTTGCAAGAAGGAAAACACAATAGCACATTAGCATAAGAAACCAGTGCCAAGCCCAGCTTGCCTGTGATGTGTGAGCAATAGAAACACCACACACACACACACACTGGTTCCCAACTGAAAGTGTTATTCTTGACTGTGTGTGTGTGTGTGTGTGTGTGTGTGTGTGTGTGTAGCCTACAGTTAGTTTCCCCCCAAGGAACACATGCTCTTAAGTTAAGCAATCTAGGAGCACATTAGAAAAAACTTTAGGATGAAAATGTATAAAATAATGTTTACAAAATTAAATCTACAATAAAATAAAAAAATAATTAGTACTTAAATGTATTATTAAAACATTTCTGGTTCAAACTGTATATTATGTAAATATGTACAGGCCTTCTTTAAACTGTGTGTGTGCAAATATATGCATGCAATAAAGATTGCTATGCTGCTGATACTAGTAAAAATCTATTGAATCATTCAAATCATGTTCTTTGTCTTTCCTTCCTGTGATGGTAAAGCCCAGACAGAAAAACTTGTTGAATTAAATGGCAGAAACGGTTTACTGTGTAACCAAAACACCAACAACTACCAGGGAAAAAAAATGCCTATGGCAAAACCTTTGATTATAAGTAAAGCAGGACTCTTATTTTGTAATGTCTATACTTTACTACTTCCAGCTGCTCATTCAAAAAGATGAGCGGGATAAAATATGCACTCTTATTCACAATATAATGTAAACAGCATGAACTCCATCAACAGAGAATAATAATCAATCGTTTGGCATAAATAGGCTACGCAATATTCATTGATGTTGACTGAAACCTTGAGCCGATAAAGACTCCAAATAAATGCTGACACATTTAATCATCAAAAATTTAAAGCAGCACAACTATTTTCAAAGTTGATAATAATCAGAAATGTTTCTTGAGCAGCAAATCATCATATTATTAGGGCTGTCAAATGATTAATCGCGATTAATCGCATCCAAAATAATAGTGTTTACATAATATATGTGGGTGCACTGTGTATAATCATTTTGGATATATACAGTATAAATACAGACACATGGATGTATATTTAAGAAAAAAAATATTTATATATAAAATAATTACATTTATATATAATAAATCTATTTACAGTATATACATAAAAAAATATTTCTTAAATATATACAAGCATGTGTGTGTATTTATATATACAAAATGATTATGCAGTGCACCAACATATATTATGTAAACACAAACTTTTATTTTGGATGCGATTAATCGCGATTAATCGTTTGACAGCCCTATATTATAATGATTTCTGAAGGATTATGTGACACTCAAGACTAGGGTTGGGTATCGTTTGAATTTGAACGATTCCGATTCCTTGTTTCGATTCCGGTTCCTAACGATTCTCGATTCCGATTCCGATATAGGCAGGGTCAAAAAAGTTAAGCTAACCTTGCTAACCAACGGCCTTTCTGAAGGAAATAATCCTTTCTGAAGGAAATACTCCTTCTGTAAAAATACTCCTTTTGTCACAAATTTTGCATTTTGCCGAGTTTTCGTTATTTTTAGAAAAGTGAAGCCACACTTTGGATCGCCGACGTAAGGTACTCATGTTCGACTCGCGTGGTTATGCCAACACTTCCGGTAGACGCTTCTTCGTTGGTGTTGTTCAGCGGATTCTTCTTCCGCTCGGCGGACTGTGAATATCGAAACTAGGAATCGAAATTTTAACTTTTGAACGATTCCGGGAAAAAACGAAAAGTTAGTCTCGGTTCCAATCGATACTCGATTCTCGATACCCAACCCTACTCAAGACTGGAGTAATGATGCTGAATATTCAGCTTTGATCACATAAACTAGTTTCAAATATATTCAGATTCTAGAAAACAGTTATTGTAAATCACAATATTACTATTTTACATCAAAATAAATGCAGCCTAGGCAGGCAGACGAGACTTATTTCAAAGGCACACACAAAAGAAATCTCACTGACCGTAAACATTTGAACGCTAGTGTGTTTAGAGCCACTTTTGAGTGAAAAACGAAGTTGCTTTTTAGCAGAGGCTCCTGAAAGATCTATCTTATTGGTCAGTGACTTTTTTGTCACTGGATAAAGAAAATCCTTTTGTCCTTGGAAAAGTAGCAGAAGAAAACGGAAAAATGTTAATAGGCAGAAGAGATTAGTGTGTGTGAGTGTGTGTGTCATGAAACAGCCCGGCCAGTGCCAATGAGTTCATCTACTTTTAGAGGACAGAAACTGTGAGAATAACAGAAGAAAGCAGTGCAGAGGACGAGAGGGAGAGAGAATCAACTTCAGCAGCTTTTCTGTGCTCGTCTGTATTTGGGTCAGATGGTTTGTGCAATGCAGGCCGCGGGCAAAGCTCTGTCACTGCAGAAGAAAGCAGACATGATGAAAAACACCACTCTGCAGATCTCTGTCAGTCCTCATCACCTAAAGTCACTTCGTGATCTCCGTGCGCTCCGTTCCCGTCTTAAACTCCATTCACAGCCGCAGTGATGTTATCTGCGGAGGTCGCTAGGTCAGTGTACTGTTAGTCATGGTCAATCCCTGTTGCTATTGGTGAAAACTTGCCCTCAAACGGGCTGTGTACTGTCAGTAAAAGTCAATCTAACTAGATAAGGAAGCAGTTTTCTTGTTGCTAAATAGGATTCTGCAGGGGAAAGCGGCAGCAGTAATGCATGATGAGTCAGAAATAGAGGTTTGGAATGAAATGAATGGGAAAAAAATGAGATCAACGAATAAATCAAACGCCTTCAGGATGCTGGCCATTTTTGATATGGCTTTCCAAAGGGATATTGTGCAGTCAGCACAATAGTAATGACTGGCTAGCTTTACATTATGTAGGCAGAGATGTAGGCAGAGACAAATCATATAGAAAGTCTGTTTCAATCTATTTCTGTGGGGGTAGTTATGCTTTCGAATGCCACTTCGTGATCTTGTATACTGTGTGTATATAGGGAGCGGCGGAATGACCGCACATTTTACATTACAAGATAAGATATTAGTCATGATCTGCGAAACATCAACTCCTCAGCCATCAGTCATCACTAGGGTTGGGTCTCGTTTGAATTTGAACGATTCTGATTCCGATTCCGAT